TATTGTTATGAAGTACTCGAGTGCTAATGGTGGCTGTTTTGTAGTCTGCTCAATCTGGCGCTTCGAGATGCCCATTTGTACAGTGTATCTGATGGTGCCTTCTAGGTGGGAAAGCGTTACGTGGAACCAGTGTTGATACAATTCAATCCTTCGTTGTCGGGGCATTCAGCCCGCGTCCTCCACGTCACCTTTTTGTCCCGGCACCAGTCCCGACGCCCATCAAAATCTGTTGGGAAGGGCACCTGTCCCACTCAATTCTGTAACTTAGCAGATCGGATCTTTTCCACATCGACTCGGATGAGCAGAGTTAGTCTCATTGGCATCGAATGAAGCCTAACTCTCGTTCTCTCCTGCTCTCGACCTTGTAACCCCGCCCGGTTCCAAACGTCCTCAAATACATACCGCTTGCGACGCACGTTTAATGTGTCAGGCCCTTTCAACCCTTTGAACACACCTTCAGCGTTGAGGAGCAGATCACCTTTCTGCTCTCCCTCTCTCGTGCCCGTCGCCTTCATGTCTTTCTCCAACCGCTTCATCAGCTTCTTTCTGATTTTCAAAACTTTTGCAACGCTGGTTCCAATCGGTTGACCAAGGGCCGTACTGCTGGGACCACATTCAAAGACTTTTTGGCTTGCGAACGCTGCTCCGATTGCTCGTAGGTCAAGACGAGACTTACTGCAAAACCTTTTTATATGTTCGTGCTGCGCTACGGGAAGTCGAGGCAAAGATGGGCCGAGACTTGAGAAATTAGCGTTTCTCTGTGATGTCGGCTACTTACAAAGGTACGTGGAGATCTTGTATCAGATGCTGTGTACGTCATTTGCCGTCTTTCATTCTCCATAATCTGACAACTCTATACAGCTGAGGAAAAGATTTCAGCCCAGTATTCCTTTAAGCTTGGCTCTAATCGGATTCACATAGCTCTGGCAACGTTGCGAGTGCGACTCCGAGCTGTCGGCTCCCAAGAAGCACGTATTATGGCCATCGTACTAGCAGCGATGTCTAATTCGAGGACGATTCGTGCACGGCCTTCAGCGACCTCGGGTTAGAAGTGTAACCCTAACCCTATCTTTCCCAGGACAACAGCTATCGCTCTTGTCGTCTAAGGCCACTGCCCTTTCATGCGCTTCCACTCATACACAACACCACATCAATTTCGGCAATTCCAGAGGTAGTCTTTTGTCTTTGCCTGATGATCGTAGCTGATACATGGTTGCAGTGCATATGGTCGAGTCTGCAGTTACATCAAATAAATAAATGTCCCGACAGTCACATAGAAGCGACCCGCGCATCCTACACAACGAGTAGTTCCCAGCTGTCGCCTTCTATGGCGCGGAGTCCCATAAACCGTGTCTTGCCCCTCAAAAATGCCAATCTGGGCTGGTGAACAACCCCTCGCTTTACCCTGCCCGACATGCCTTGACTTGTTCGATACACGTCCTTCTGATTTTCGATGAACGATGACACCGACGCGGACGGTATGGGGTCGCATATACGTAGAGCGTGCCATAGTGTCTCAACGACATCAGCGACCGTGACCCATTCTCGATCGCCCGACCTTTGAATGACTATCGGCCACGGAAGCTTTGGGTGGACTATAGCCAGTGACGGAAGAGGCGGAATGGTCGCTACCTCATTTACACAGCTCTCGTGACTAAGAACGCGTACGCTCGACAAACTGCGAGCAAAGTCGAGCTTCATGATCATCTCTCCACGGCTTGGCTGCAACAGTGGATGTACAATTGTCGGGTTACCGCTCTCTATTTGGGACGGGAGCGGGATGCGACCATGGCTCGGTTTACCGGGGGCGAGCAGTGTGGACGACGTGATGTATTCCCGTACATATTCCATATATGACGCGTTGGGACTGGATACATAGCGGCGGCAAAGAGGGACTGTTGTGGCCACCTGCGCTTCGCTATAGATAGGAATAACGAGAGACGCCCTCGACGGGGTGTAGAGCGCCGTCGCTGGTGATAGGTGTAGTTCCGTCAGCTCCATGTCCTGCCGTGTTGTCATCGTCGTCACGCTTTCTCGTCGGACATGCATCGTCTGCGTGGCTCCGCCGTTATTCATGGAACAAATAGCAAAAGAAAGGCGCACAGATGAATAGAGAGGCCTTGATTTACGTGAATGAGTGCGAACGTCAGAGGAGGAAGATGTGGAACGGTCGGAACGGGCGATGGTGGTGGTTTGAGGGAGAGATGTGGGGGCCTGGGGAAGGATGGGGCTGCTTTATATATGGTATGTCCCCCCTCCAGATATTGAACGTAAACCTAACCTTACATTCCTTAGGGTTAAGGCCGTTCGGTGTACATCAAATTTGGCAAGTGTACATATTGTCATGGTACCTTTCGGGATGCAATTCAGAGTCCTCCTTGGCTTGTGCTCTCACCTCCCCGGCCTTTCGCTGCCTTCTCGTGCCCTCTTCTGAATGGAATGCCACCCGTCCGCAAGAAAAGGTCCTTCGTGCTAGACTATAAACTCGATGTGGCGCATTTTTGAGAACTGAGGGATGCGTAACTGTTTTACAAAGGATGTCTTAACATAAGACAACCGGCCCTTGAGAGAAGTTCAAAAAGGAGTGCATTTACCCCTAACCATCCTCTCTTCCATCAAATCATCGTTTACAAACACCATCCGTTTGAGTGTCAAGGTAAACGCTCTCTGCTCATACAGTATTTCTTATATCTTATCTTCGTTGTAGATGCTACTCTCTGCCTATTGTCCGCGATGCAACCACAATCGACAACATGTTCTTTCGCCCGACTATAATATACTGGCACCCTTGCGGATGTATGAACTACTCAATTCGAATGATCCGCCTTTTCGAGCTGAACGTGTTCACCTGGAGAACGCAATCATTCAAAGCCATGGCGCATTAGCCGAGCTACAACATCAGATAACCGAGGCACGGGCGGTGCTAGATGGACTTTTGGAAGAGGAGGCGTGCGTTCAAGACACGATTGAATCATGCAAGACAATACTCCACCCTATTCGTGGGATTCCAGAGGACATCATTCGCGAATTCTTCGAAGCGTCCTTAGACACCGATAGGGAGCGAAAAGATTCGCTGAATGGAAAATTCCCGCCTTTGGTTCTTTCGCAGGTGTGCAGGGATTGGAGAGCCATCGCGTTGTCTACGTCTCGGCTGTGGTCATCCCTTAGACTGGATTTTGACCTGTATCGCAGCGACATGGCGTGTCTCTATCTCCTTCAAACATATCTTCTACGATCTGGGATGCACGATATCACTCTCTCCATACACAGCAAAACCGACCTCTCAAAGAGCCATCGCATACCAGTTCTTATTTTGAGTGCCCCTCGTTGGACCGATCTTTCTCTGTCCATTACCCATAAATCCATACATACCTTCTCCACTGCCAGAGGGACCTTCCACCGCCTAAGTCGCCTTTCGCTAGAGGTCATCGGCCCCATTCCGCGGGCGCGCTGGAATTCGACCAAGTGCACATTCGACGCATTCGAGTATGCCCCGGAGCTCCGTAGCTTCACCCTACAACGCATGTGCGCGGCCATTGAAGAGATAAGCCTGCCGTGGTCTCAACTCAACGAGTATGCTGGAGATGACTGGATGAGCTCGTATATCGATATATTCAAACGCGCGCCGGATATGGAGCGTGCCTCGTTGCAATGCGACGCTGAATCGGAGTATGATGACGAAAACCATCCGTCACTGTCCCATCAGGGTCTTCGTGTTCTTCATTTGCACGAAGTCGAAGACCCCTCAAATGCACACATCCTTTTAGAAGGAGGGATTGTTCGTCTTCTTTCATATATAGAGTTTCCGGCTTTGGACTCTCTGAGCATGTCGTATAGGCATACTTCTATTCAGATTCCTCGTACTCTACGGGGATCGACAGCGAGCAGTTTGAGGTTTCTCTCCATTGACGCGCCGTTTGTCATCACCGCTGAAGCGCAGGCTAATCTTCTCGGTCTACTCCAAACAACGCCATTCCTCTCCAGCCTGTCGATGTCCTGTCGATTTGCACTTGAAGCGGATGAGAATGAGGGAATCTTTCTCGGACTCAATGCCAATATCCACCCCGATGTTCTTCCCAACCTGTCCGCACTGACGATCCGGTTCATAGCAAATCTGCAGCCATGTCTGTCGCCGTTATTCATTGATATGGTCCATTCTCGGAGGCACGCTGCGCCTTCACGGGCAGCATTGCGGACACTTCGTTTCCTTGCACCTTTTGTTATTTTACCGGCTAATACTGATGCGGCTGCACGCTGGAAGGGGCTGTGCGATGAAGGTCTCGTTACATTCAGCGAGCATCGATAGCTGATTCTCCTTCGAGCTTTACGCCATCAAAGTAGCGCCCATTGTATTCTATACCATGACGGTGCTTGTGCTATTCAAATTAAATTTGTCTCAATGGGAAGGATGCAGAACTTCAAGGAATGACAACCGGGCTCGAAGGCCCAGCGACAATAACGGAGAAGAATGAGAAGAACTTGGCCGAGAGCATCTTCAAAGGAAGCGAGAATCTCAGATGATAAATGAGTCTGAGGGTACAGTGGCGTGGTAGACTTTCTTCTCGGGAGGAAGGCCATAAAGTGCGAGTCAATGGAAGAGGAATTGACGCAAGGTATGATTACATTCATGTATCTTTTATGCGCAAATGCCGTTCAGTGGAGCGGTACCTTCCTACCATGAATTATCGTTAACCGTTTTGACAATGGTGCGCGTAGCTTGCAAGTAAATGGACTGGATCATGATACCAGACCTGGAAACGAGTGCGAGACCCGGGAGCCGCTGACAACTTACTAAGCCTAGGGAGACGGACAAGTGTAGATTTGTTCCCTACGCCGGTGGTGTTCAAGCCTTAATATTAAACGATTGATGATCATCTGACACGCTTATTCTGCGGAGAATTTTGACAGAGGGTGGATAGGAAATTGGCGTTCAAATGTGTCGGAGCGTTCGCCGATGGCTATTTTGCATATTATATGTCCTGTGTTAGCAAATATCGTATGTCCGCCTAGCTCAATCGGATAGAGCGTCAGACTCTTACAATGACAGGTGGTTTAGTGGGTATCTGAAGGCTGCGAGTTCGACCCTCGCGGTGGGCTATTGAGTGCACTTGTATTTTGCCTTTTTGCCTAAATTAAATGTTCTCCGTTTCAAGTTGAACTTTCAACTTTGTTAAGTTTCCTCCAAGTCTTAGTGTTAAACTCTTAATTTTCACAAGTTAGCAGCGGTCGTCCCCACTCCTGGTTCTCTGTAGCCTCCATCGGACATCCTCTTTTTCTTCAAACGTTTAGCGCTGTATTCCAATCCCTGGGGCTTGGACACTTCTTTATCTCTCAGGAGGCACTCTCCCTGCTGTACAAAATTTCGACGCACCATGGTGTTCCAAGACTCAAAAACATGCTTACCAGGGCGGGCGGATGCTCTAAACTTTCATGGCTGTAACCTGTTACCTGCTCAAAGTTCAAACTCCAAACTTTAAAATATGTCCTTGCGATACACTTCGATGCTGACACTCTATCGACTGAGAGATAGCATTCTGGCGCTAACTAAGGTCAATCTCTTGCCGATGATTGAGAATCGAGATGCGGAAGAAAGACACATCATCGCAACATCATTGTAAGATTAAATCATAATCAAGCACGCACTGGGTTATTTTTCCGCCCTTGACAGTCGTGCATCGACATCATTGAGCATGCTGTGATACGAGTTGTCAGGAAATGTATTGATTATCCAGTTCCCCAAACATACACGCAGGAACCCTACAACCCATTTCATCGGACCCGTTAAAAGTCATTCGCGTACATATTTTAAAAACAGTAGCACACTGTAAGTAAATGTGACTCGTGAATTCTAGTATCTGGGTGTTTTGTAAGTAAAATATCATCATTCCATCCCATATAGAACAAAACCTCCATCGCAAAGTTCTGCCCACCGGTCAACCAGGGCATCAGGTGGTGATGGCATGACAAACGGCACGGATAAACGAAGAGTCTCCCACCAGGTCCTCCTAGACTCAACCAAATCGACAAAAACACTCGACAGAACTGGGCGCTTGCTTAAGACACGGAAAGTCAACGACCTAAGACCGGGAACGACACCAGGATTGATATTGTTGTTAAGTCCAAGAAGAAGCACGTTCTCTTCGGGCGACATGGACATGGACATGGAAAGATGTGTAAGCGAAGGTGTCGTCCTGAGAAGACTGAGTAAATCAGTCAGCGCCTCAGCGGGAATGGTGCATGGTGCATTGATGGAGAGGGTCCTCAAGTTTCTAACGCGAGGAGAACTAGGAATCCGAATGTGAGGATGCTGGTAGACCATACTCAAGGACTCTAGAGCAGGACATTCGATATGTGAAAGAAGAAGAACGATACCTCCCTCTGAAAGGGCATTCACGCCTGCCTCCTCATGAACGCGAAGCCGATGAAGCCCGTGATGGCGAAATAGGAGGGGGGAGCGGTCGATCAAGGACCGAGTCATCTTCACAATGCAAAGACACGCTCTCCATATTCGGCGTAAGCTTGAACATCTCGATATACGAGCTTGTCCAATCCATTCCGGTATAGTCAATGAGCTGTGACCATGGTATGTTTAGCTTATGAATAGCGTTGAATACAGTGTCGTGGGAGAAGCTACGGAGCAGCGGAGCATACTCGAAGGCGTCGAATTTGGGTTTGACCTGTGGGCCAGGTGAGGCCGGTGGATCGTCTGTGAACTCCACACGGAGACGATTCAAGCGGTACAGAGTTCCACTGACAGCAGAGAACTCGTGTAGCGATAGGAATGGAATGGAGATGTGGATATCCACCCATCGTGGGGCACTCGAAAGAAGAACGGTGACGACGTGATTATTTGAGAGCGCTTTTGTGCTGTGCAAGAATAGAGTGATATCTTGTGTCCCAGACCGTAGCAGGTATATCTGGAGCAGATGCAGACATGCCTTCGCATTCCGGTATCGATCAAAATCCAGCGAAAGGGGCGACCAGAGCTGGGGCGTTGATACCGCAACACTTCTCCAGTGCCTGCAGACTTTCGAAAGAACCAATGGCGGAGATTTCCCATCCAACGAGTCCTTTATATCTCGCTCGTCGGTGTCCAAACACGTCAAGAAAATCTGCCGAACGATATCCTCCGGAATGCCACCAATAGGACGTATGATTTTCTTGCAAGATTCAACCAGACTTCCAACGCGCCTCTCTTCATCCAATAATTCCTCGAGCACCGCACGTGTTTGAGTTATTCGTCCCTTTAGACCAGACAGAAATATGTGGCCTTCGCGGATAACGCCCTCCAAGTCAACGTACTCGGCTTGAAGAGGCGGGTTATTTGATTTCAGCAATTCATCAAATCGCGATGCTGCCAAGCCAGGACCGTGGAATGAAGGTGAATCGCCTTGTTGATTGTAATCGCATTTTGGGCAGTGGACAGAGGCCGGCATCTACAGCGATGATAAGAGACGAGACAACACCCATTTCAAATATTTACCTTTTTCTTACTGACGGCTAGCGGGTGTGCCAAATTAGAACGGCGTACTTAAGGGCGAGCCTCGGTGCAACAGAATTTGTAGATGATCGAGGAGCGAGAGGGAAGAGACTGACGGTTCCCACGCCAATGACGCGATTTCCGGGCCGATATTCCTTGGCTTCACTTGAGCTCAACCATCACGCATCGCTCAACGTCCAACAAGGATATTCTCCACTCACCTCATCAGAAAATGAAGTCGTATGCCATGGATTTCCCTCTGCATGACCAAGTGTACCGGGATAATGCATAATAACGGCGCGTTACGATTTTGTAGAGAAAGTTTTATCAATAGCTGACTTCTTCGGTATGCACAGGAAAATATGGGCTCGTCAGCCGCTCTGGAGTTCGGTCCTCTCCATCTCCCACAACTACGGTTGTTCCTCAAAAACCAATATAGCGGACCAGTCTAGCCCTTCAGGTTCAGGTCCAGTGAGTTCTGTAGACCGTGCTATGGTTGTCGTCCATGCTTACGACCGAAGACGTACAGGAATTTCGGTGACAACGAGGCAGCTTACCATGACCCCGTTGATACGCCGAGTCAGATAATACATCTTGCGCCAAGTAGCTGTGCCATGGTTGGCGATTAGAGTCGGGAAAGAGGTGCTTTTCATTCGCAGATGAGCCGTTGTCGTGACGGAATTCTGCTGTTGATTTGTCTATCAGCTATTTGAGGTGGCGAAATGGAGGAACATCGAACTGAATGGGCAGTTCAATCCTAAGGAAGCAAGCCTCGGACTGGGCTGACGGTTACAGTAACGATATGTCCCGATGGTATTACAATTATCGTTCACTGTTATTCAATCGCAACTAATAGATCAGGGCCAGGTCAAGGTCTGGAGCATGTCTGTCTATTGTGTCCAATCCTGCGCTGATAATGCGATATCTTTACTTTTCAAGACGCAAAAAACCAGTAATAGGTAGCTTTCCTCTCCTCAATCTACGATGCAGTCTCATTCTCATAGATGTTTTGAGTTTTCTTATCGCATTCTACAGCATCTAATTACGTCCTGCCATGCTCTAGTAATAAAGCGCACGGTTCTGTACAGCAATTTCTATCTCTCGCAGTAACGGCCACCATGCCGGCTCTCAACGTCTGTCTCTAAGTCGCCAACCTTGCTGATGCTTCTGGTGTACCTCACGCCGAAAAGGCTGTATCTATTTTGACACTGCTTGAAGTTCGTATACCTGCTTCGTCTTATCGTTTCTTGCTCTTAATCAGAACCGCATATAGAAAAAGGGAAAAAACAAGAGAACCTAAACGGCAGCCTGGTCGAGATGACACTTTGAAGAACCATTCTACCGAATTGGTGTTACCTCGTCTGTGGAGAAACCTGAAAAGTTTATATTACCTTTGCTAGGACACGGTTAATTTCGGCTAATTTTGAGATGGACAAGTTCAGTTCGATTTGTTTTATCGTTAGCGAGATCAAGTCAAAGTCGGTACGTTCGTTGGTTATCTCGATCCTAGTTCTTGCTGATGCCAAGCTTTAGTACCCTACGAGGCCAATGGGTGGAAGACTACGTTAGCCAATCAAGGTACTTTCACTCCAAAGGTTGCGTAGGAATTTCAGTGTGACGTTATCATCTCCGTCCTTCCTTCTTCTCGACCGCCGCTTATTGATCCTCTTCGCAGGCTATTTCCAAAGGTCGACGTAGGGAAGTTCGATGTGACGGCATGGCCTTCCCACATGGCCATTATGCCTTTCCCAGGGGTCGCTGGGGGGGTTTCGCTATGCGGGCCTGCGTTTTATCGCCATACCATGATTGATCGGTCCAAGGACTGGGTTATCAAGTGACTGCAGAATTCATTGATATTGTGGCAGCACTTGGACGGGGCTTGTTGATCAAGCTCGTCGTTCTCAAATTCTTCCAGGAAAAGCAGCGGGTTATAAGTAGAAGTATCATGTATCCCTTGGTCCGATCTTTTGTGGCTCACATGTCCATTCGTGGAAAAATGGGTATACTTATATCCTCGGACTTACCTCTGTACGATCAAAAATGTGGCTGCCTTCATCTAGGCTGGCGCTGAATATTTTTAGCCTCACGTCAGTCTCAAAACTCTGTCGAGGTGTTGCGTAGGTGAGGAAGGCTGGATTAAAAATCTTAGGCGCCTGTCATACCAAAGACTTACTGGCGGCTGCGATATGTTTCGATGGCACCGGCCCGGTCCAGCGTCTACTTTGTTTGCTTCCTACCACGAGGACAAAGCACTGCAATCCTCTGGGCACAAACCCGGCACAACTACAGATTTGCTACTACACCTCGTAGACTTCCTGGAGGACACGCAATAATACGTGTGGTTGTAATACTATTTCAGTTCCTCGTTCCGCTACAACCAGGAAGACTCGAAATGGATCAGGGGGAATGGTGGTGGCGTTATGGAGATCTCGCTCACTATAGATCTGACTGGGTAAGCATATAAAAACATGAACAGATGGGAAGTCAGTAACATTTTGCAGATAACACAGGATCCTCTTAAGGATAGAAGTTTCCGCAAGGTTACCCTCTCCGCCTTTACAGAGACCGGCCACGCAGAATCTTCCATTGTAGTACCATACCAACGGTCCTACACCAG